GGGGGGGGGGGGGGGGGGGGGGGGGGGTTACTAAAACTTTGAATCCTGGTATCCCAGTTGGAGAGTGAGAAAATAATTTAAATTTCAGACCCTGTTACTGAAGTGAGATTATAGTCTCATATATTGCAGGAACAAAGCTTGATCAAAGATGGTATCCTGGCATATGGCAACATGCACAAACCACTGTTCCACTAATCTTTCCCCCGCATTATTTCATTTCAGAAACCAAAATATACGAAGAAAATTTTAAAGAAAGCGAGCAAGCCAGACCGTATTCCAAGAAAAGGTGACCTTGTCAGTTGTTTTTACACTGGGAAACTTCAAGATGGAACTGTCTTTGACACAAATCTTGGAAAAGGTGAAATACCAAACATGCTGTATTATTTTTAATGGGTATGTGTGGATTTGTTCTGCCATGACCCATTTACAAATGACTGTATTTGATTCTGCATTCCAGGATCAAAGAAGAGAGGTGGGAGTTATGTTCCATTAAAATTCAAAGTTGGAACTGGACAAGTGATTCGAGGCTGGGATGAAGCTCTCATGACAATGGGATTGGATGAGAAGGCAGAACTTACAATTCAGCCTGAATGGGCTTATGGAAGAAAAGGCCTTCCTGACCACAAGTATCCTTTTTAATTCATCAAATTACTAAACTTTGCCTGGATGCATCCATGCCCAAACAGGCAGCAAAACTGTCCCAGCAGTACCTATGATGTTGCAATTGTAAAACAGGAGAAGCAGTGTTTTACAATGTATTACACTTTATTCCATATTATCCATCACTGATGCATCTAGGATTTACATTCTTGGTTAAGCAATCTTGTATCAAGTGAATTTAAGGGACTTTGTGGGCCCATTTTGAGCCAGGGCCTTGGGGCAAAATGCTTCCACTGCCTCTTTCCCCTCTCGGTAGCATTGCCTGGATGTTCAGTAAGAACCGTATTGGCCCAGTGTTGCAACGGGAGGAAGTGAGAGTACCTGAAGAAAATCTACAGTGTTTGGTATAATCAAACTAAAAGCAACATTCTCAAATACGACTGAGGAGAAATTATGATCAGAAAACTGCATATTGCAGGAATCCAACCTCAGTCACATAAGTGAAAGACACATACCCCCTTCCCCTGGTACACTAACCACTGTGCCACTGCCCTAAGTTCCAAATATCCAAAACTCCTTGACTCCAATGCCACAGGATTCCTCAAAATGCAACTTTAATTTTTGAAGTTGAGTTGACTGGTATTGAGTGAAATGTCAATGGATTTTGTCACACTACGGTACTGTATGAGAATTACCATCACAGTAATGTTGTAACCATGTGCCGTAGAACCTGATATCTAACTTACATTTTGTAGATAAACAATTCATTTGAGGAGGTAGTTGACTATTAGTTTGTTCTCTTATGGATTGTGTGAAATTTTGCATCTAGGAAAAAGTTGCGTTTATGTGACTGTGGAATTACATTTATTTTGTTTAAATTATTTTGGATTTCTTTGCTCATCTTTTAACCCATTAAGCTGTATTGTGCTCCAATGTGCCTACTTTATTATTTAATCTGTCTAAAGGCAGACAATTTTACTCATCAAGGGAAGAGCACTGGTACTTAATGGCCAGTAATCAGATTATTTTTCTGCACATCTAGTTAACCCATTAAGCTGTATTGAGCCCCAATGCACCCTATATAACACTGGTGAGAGTACTAGGACTAATTGGGTTAATAAATATGTATCTGTTTAGTTTTTTATACAATCACCAACCTGATTCTACGTATTGCAGCTTTTTATATTGTATACAGTAATAATACAAGTCAATACTATATTAAAGTCTATATATACTGTACATTGAGCGTATTCAATAACTATATGTACATTGAACGTACCTGTTCTTATTCCGTGTAGCGTTTATACAAGGAAATGAAGGAATCGGGATTGTTCAAATTATTACATAGAATGCAAGTAGTTCATTTTTGTTAATTTTGAAATAGTTTTTAAAAACTCATTAATAATTCATGAGGAAAAGACGAAGGAAATCACTGCCGTGTCGGTGGTTTTTTATGTGATAAAAAATCATATTAGTTTACATAAACTTTAGCTTTGATTTTCTCGGCTAAGACAACGTTGATTTTTAAAATTACTTCGCCAATGAACTCATCAGATAGGTCGTTTTATAAGCCATTTAAAACGCTTGCAGTCCGTGCTTTATGAGATATAAAACACTCGGCTATCTCCTCGTGTTTAAGCACTCCTGCTCGTGTTAGTACGAAGAATATCTCGGCAAATTATCCAGTCATGTGTTTCTTTGAGATTGTTGCTTTCAAATTAAGACAATGAAAGGAAATTTCGTTGTAAACAGCAACACAGTGATTTCTTTGAAGCGTTCGTGTTTTTCTTGGAGGGAGCAATGTTTTCACAGCTGGAAAATAAATTTTGATATTTTGCCAACTTTACCGCACAGTCGGGTTTCTTATTGTCAAACTGGTTTCTTGGTAAATAGACAGGTTATTGCCAAGTGGCTTCAGCGATTTAATGAAAGAGTGTGAAGTGAATTATTGAGACAGTACAATGTACACATGTGATTGTATTACTCAAACTTGTATTAATAGTTCATGGAAAGGAAACAGAAACTGTATAGTTGTCTTGATATTACAGTAAATAAACATCTATAATTAAGTTCACTTTGTCTTTGATGTTGGATTTCGCATTTAAAATCTTTGCAAAAATACCCAGGGGTTTGGGAATTTGTTTGCGAGATTTTCAGCAGATTTTAATCAAAGGACACTTTTGACAAGATTTTAAGATTTTGAAGAGATCTTGGAATTTTGGAAGAGATGTTGAGATTGCTAGCTATTCAGTGGGATTTTTAGTCAGTTTTTAAAGGAAGTTTTGGGATTTGGAATTTTAGGGATTTCAAAATTTGGTAGGATCTCGGGGTTTTTGAGAAAGTGTGCGTGGATGTTTGGAGTAAATTCAGCCCTCATTCATGCCAATACCTTACAACCAGTAGTTTGCGATGTTACTCTGAGTGCATATCCACACCGGACGACCTTGAAAAATATGCCCGGCCACGGTGGGATTCGAAAAACAATCTATCACTCGTATAACAGAGTAAAGCAATATAGGGGACGCTCAGCGTCAAGGATTAAAACGTGGCGGATGATTTCAAAGCTGGGATCACCCACCAAGCATGCTGACAAAGTTCCGTGTTTTTTATGTGTTTTGTCTTTCGTTCTGTGTCAATTTCTCTCTGTTCTTCTTCCCTTTACGTAAGCCAAGGCTCATTTAAATCTCATCAACTTTGCAGCGGTACCTTTGTTTTGACGTCGGTTTTGACGACCAAAACCCGGTTTTTTGTATTTTTATTTTGTGTCTGAACTCAGTCCCTGATGTTTCGAGCAACGTACACGTTTCCGTGATGTAGCATGAATAATGTATGTTATGTTTGGTAAAGCAGACGGATTTTGAGACAATACGAAACTAGTCTTCTGTGAAAATAACCATGAAAGGTGCGAAATGATGACGTTAGAGACAAAGGAAGTTCTTGAAAAAACAAACAAGAAGAACAAACTTACAAATGTCGTAATACAAATCAACGCCTTGTTTCGGAAATCTAAAATTTGACAGACGCAAGTAGTCTAAGATCAGCCGTGTCACAATTTCTCAATTGAGAAATATCGGTATTGAGAAATATCGTTTTCAATTGAGAAATACTGATCGGTATTACTGAGGCCAGATGATGACTTCTAATGAACCTGATCCACACCACTATTTAAGAACAAGAACACTATTTAACTTAGCTGGCGGGGATGACATTTCTCAATTGAGAAATTTGCGGTGATACCGAGATGAGAATTGGTGACATATGGTTGCACCCTAAGATTCATGGAAACGTAACACTAGCCGGAACATCAAATTGAACAGAGTAACAAAATTTAACTGCCATTTCCTGAATAGCAGCGAAAATATAGCAATATTACAATATAGCTTGGTAATGTTCACTGTTCATAAACTTGTTAAATTTACTTTCAGTAAAGAAACTATTCACAGCTCTAAATCTTCTCATAACAAATACACAGTAGATTTTCCCAACCAAGAAACATTTATCGTAGTTGAAAACATGTTTGAAGTCAAACTGAACAATTGGTGAAACGAATTCAAACAATAGTATGAATGTAAACATCTGAAACTGAATCTAAAAATAAAACACTGCATGATTATATTGTTATCGCCAGAAAAGCGAGCAAAGTTCAAGCAACTGGAACTACGTTGCTACAATGCAAAGGCCTGTACGACGTGTTTATTATATGTAAGCACTTTTGCATCTGTTCAAAATTGAGTGAAAATGTTGCCAAACCGGTTTTGAAGTGCACTTGACAAGTTTTGTTTAAAATTTGCGCAAATTAGCAGAATCTGCGCATTCTTATTTTATGCACATGCGCAACCGTAATTAATATGTGCAGTATTGCCATTATTGGCAACCAATTTGGCTCTGACTCAATGCACTATCACACTCTACATTCCGGCGTTTACAAATCAGCTTATGTCTGTTTAATCCTTGAGAGACCTAATTTTTTTTTTTTTTTGCTCATCCGTTTCAACCGGAATGAAGATACTAGCTCGTCTGACTTGTATATCGGATCTGAATGTGAAGAACTCGACACCTGATACACAGTTTGTACTTGTTGTCAGTTGACTCGATAGTCGAATGTGAACAACCCATTGTTAGGACTGACAAACATTTCCAACAAATTCCTAACTAATTAGTTAACTAACCAGTATATTCAAACTAGGGCTAATCTGCTACTAATGAACTGATTATGTAATTATGTATGCTCCCCTATCAGGCAAAGAGAAATAACTTGTGAGGTTTTAATCCAAAGCAATTACATGACCATCTATATTAGTACATTATTTATTAGATTGTAATCTAATCACTTGTAAGTAGGTCTGCAATATGCACATGCATTTGGTATCGTGTAGAAGCGAATATTGAAGCATTTAATCACATTGTCAAACTTTGCATCATTCTTTGTGTGCATTACTTGCATTATTGACGTTTTCACAATCTCTTATGATTCTTGTGCGACGTAAATATGGGGGTGATTGTGTGCATAGTATTGTAAATTACCAATCACTCCTTCCAACCCCGCCATCCTGATCCAACCCCATCATCCAACCCCAGCCACCGTCTGGTGCATATATGACTTTTTCAGGTGGTTCGCTGAGAAAGACATACTATAAATTACTACAGTTAATAGTTAATTTGAAATTATAATCAGCGAACCACCTGAAAAAGTCGTATATGTGTCAGACGGTGGCTGGGGTTGGATTGTGGCGGTGCAGATTCAGACGTTTTCAATGGAATGAATTATTTATTTCACTTGCTTAATTTGCATGATATTACTACTAAAGTCCGTAGTCCATGCATTTTTAATTTCATCATCTTCACGCAGTTTGTCATGGGAGTCAAAAATTGCATCATTTTATTGGAGATTTCTTCATGAAATCTCATGACAATATATATCTCATGGCATTTATATCAGTCCCATGATAGTGTTGATGAATGAGGTATATAATTGAGTTTCCCAAGCGAGCGGAAGTCGTATTCTTAGTCACGAGTGTTTGAATATTTACGGTATGTTTGAACACTGCTTGTGGCAACTGCAATTCAGCATGTTTCCAAATTTGCCAATGTTCTGTCAGAAAGAACTATTCCTTTACAAAACCCTAACATGGACTTGAATCCTGTCGAGAAAACCACGATTCAAGTTCATAAAAACAATCCAAAGTTCGGTTTACATTCCCATTTCGGTTTCAAACGAAAAAATCATTTCCGTCCGAGCGTAAATAATGAATTCACAGCGGGGACAGACCGCGAGTCATGTGAAGCATGCGTAGGACAGGTTACGACTCGTAAACAAACTACACCGGTTGTAATAAATACACACTCGCAACTCTCTGCCACTCAGATAGCTGCTGTATACAAAGAAGTGAAGAACTTAGCAATTAGAAGTCAACGCTTTAAACATCTTTAAGCGAGAAGACGCTTGAAAGAGACGAAGCAAAAGAAAGTAGACAACCAGAAGTACACAATCGTAATCCAAAAGAAGAAGAATCATGGTCATCGGCGTATTCAAAGTTCCTTCGTTCCTGAAACGAAAGCATCATCCAAGCCAACGATTAGACAACGAGGACTCCGCGGAATCTGCCCAATCATCACCGAAAGCCGAAAAACCTGGGACAAGTTCAGACGCTCCCGAAGTCTCGGCCACTTCAGTTAGCATTGATATTCCCGACAAGAAACACGTACGTCGAGTACGAACCGTTTCAGGATCTAGTGGACACTCAAGTCAGTCCGAACCAACCCCACGTTCAAGGCGATTCCCAAATTTCTCTTCCGGATCGAACTTCTCTGGCGATTCGATCATCCATCATCTTGACAAACTCAGCGAACGAGATCAGGTTTGGTTCCAAGCGTACAGATTCGGCGGTCGATAAATTTGAACAGTTTGAATGCCAAATATTTTCAGTTGGGAGACTTTGACCTCGGAATTGGGAGTTCCCACTTAAACGATGATTTGAAGAGATGAAACATGTATTGTATAGAACTCGGAAAGACATACGAGTAAACTTTTACATTCAAAAATAATTTGTATATTTTAGTTTAGGTTGTATATAGCAAGATGTGTTTATATGAGTAATTCTGTGAAATTCTTTGGCGGCGTCTGTTTCCCGCCAACTTTTAGACTTGAGTTTCGATCCAATGTTAAAGTAAGATTTGAATACTTTTTATTGAATATTAGTTTGAAACGTATCCGTTGTGAGACTTGTGAGTAAGGGTCCTATAGTGAGACTCAGAGAATTAAAATTGAATTGACGAAAGGCGTTTGCCTGAACTTCATTGATGCATAGATGATGAGGAATCTTAGATGATGAATAGATGAGGATCCGGATAATATCGTCATGTCTTGAGCAAATTTCAGTTTCGGATAAAAGAGTGTTCACTTTCGAAGGTCGACATAGAAAGTTTTGGGAGCATTTTTGTTCGCCATTTACTATCTTAGGAGTAAATTTTTGTCAATTTGTAGGCGTTGGTATCGCCTACGCAATTTTTTGTGTTGAAATGAAAAAAGTATAATGAAAATTGAAAATATGCCTCACTTTTAGTTGATGTTTTCGTTTTATAGTAGCATGTATTTGTCAAAAAGAATTCGGTCTATATAAGCCATCAACTGAAGAATTAAGTACAAAACGAAAGCTCAGACTAAGTATGTCGAAGGCAGATATTATTACTCAATGTAAACACACTGTGTCATTGTTTTGATATTGTGCGGTTTGTTGTAGTATGCAAATTTCCGCGTGTTCGTTTGCTACTGCAGGAAATTACCTATCGACCTGTAGAAACAAGATATGTAAATAAGCATAAATTCCGCCAGTTCGCGCTCAAAGCAAGATGAAATTGTATTACTATTTTTAAGCATCATATTATGTAATAATATGGTATAGTTAATATGTTTTGTATGAAAGAAAGTGTTGTAAGATATATATATATATATGTACATATAGATAATGTAAAGAATATGGATTTAATTAAATGCCGCAAGGTATTTGTGTATATATAAGTACTTAAATTGGAGACATATTGATTGATCGTTTTAGCGCGAAATATTCGCTATTAAGTAAGATAACTATTTAATAAAGTATTTTTAACCAAAGTAATAAATGCGAAGTATTCAAATTTTGTCTTGTTGTTATCTCTGCGCATTTCCCAGCGAGTACTGTACAAGTTTGATCATTTTTCGCATTAAATTGCTGTGCTAAACAAACAGATCGTATTTCCATGTGTTGTTACTTTCTTTTTCGAGTTAAACCACGTTTAACTGTGGTTAAACAAACATGTTTTAATTGTGGTTAATACACGCTAAGCCACATTGAATCAACCGAGGACCTACATCAGCGCTTGCACGTAAAACGTTTTTTACTCAAATAGAAGGACTCACTTTTAACATTCAGGAATATTTTATCATAAATTAAGGGTGTGAAGGGAACACGCTGTTTAGTTTATACAGGGTGTATAAAAAAACTGAACAGATATGAATTTGCTCTTAATTTCGCAAAACAGCTATTAGTATCCAGTTTTTGATGTATATAACTTAGTTTGGTACTTGTAATGTAGAATAATGAAAAAAATTTCTCGAACTCAAATTTTGTGAACCAGGGGGTGTGTCTTTTCCAACAAACTAAAAATGGCTTGCGCACGAAATTTAAAAGCTTTAATCATATTTTGAGTTGATAGATGGAAAATGTGTTGGGTTTTTAATTACTGTACAAAATTTCAGAGAATTTGTTTTAGTTTACGCCCTTTAACTATTCACGTAAACTTACATTTTTCCCTAAAAAATTGGCTATTCGCATGCTTAATTAAGGTCTTTGCCTAATTTGCATATGTCAGCAATATGCAAATTAGGTAAAGGCATTATTAATTAAGCATGCGAAAGGCTGATTTTTTAGAAAAAAATGAATAGTTACCTTTAAGCAAATTGTCTGAAATTTTGTACAGTAATAAAAAACCCAACAAATTTTCCATCTATCAACTCAAAATATGATTAAAGCTTTTAAATTTTGTGCGCAAGCCATTTTTAGTTTGTTGGAAAAGACACACCCCTGGTTCACAAAAGTTGAGTTCGAGAATTTTTTTTCATTATTCTACATTATAAGTACCCAAAGAAACTATATATATCAAAAACTGGATACTACTAGCTGTTTTGCGAAATTGAGAGCAATTTCAAATCTGTTCACGTTAAAGTATGTTAGAACAACAAGACTCAAGAGATTACATCCCCACACAAATGTAGTTTTATAATCTGTTACATATGAACAGATATATTCTAATTTGTAGTATAATTAATGCAGTTGTTGCGAAAACCTGCTCCTGGTTAGGTGTAAATAAATGTATAAAATTTACACGCGAAATTTCCATCTACAAAACCCCTCGACAATTCGTTCTAACGATCGAGTGAGATGCCCAGAATTTTAGAGGTTTGTTGTAATTTATCATATTTTACGAATGTGGAAATTTTACCGTACCCAACGAGTAATCACTACTGAATATATGTCTCCAACACACGCCATAAATGAATGGAAAACGTGCCAGCACAATACACGCCATTGAAAAAAATTGAGTTACTCCGGCGGGTACTGTAAAGTGTAAAGTTTTCACGCATGTTTTAAACTGATAAGACCTCCAAGACCAAGGAGAACAGTGTAAACTGATGGACGGTTGCGATTTGTTGCGTTCACATGGGATGCATGAACCCGAACGAATTCCCATACGCAAATTCGTCCCATTTGAATTTCAGTTCATTGTATTGCATTTTTGGCAGCTTGGATGGTATCTGTATATACAAATTTTCTATTTCCTTCCGTATTCCATATTTACTCACTGAAGTTACCAAAGCCAAAGGGCTATTTGCTATAGACCCTTTGCACTGACGTCACAAACCCTTAGAGTGTCCTCCAGATGCTCCCTAACAATATCTGTTCGGGTACAACAACCACATACAGCGAAACAATTAACCATTTTAATACAAAATTATTATAAACTTTTACAAAATGTGCTTTGTTTACAAAAGTTATATTATGCGTTTTGGCCTCCGGATGCATCGTTACTGGCGCTGTGACGTCAAGTGCAATGGGTCTATAGTAGACTATTTATTAGTATTTTATTAGCCAGAAACGCAAAGAAAGTTTGGCAATCTGGCTTGTGGTCAAAAAGAAATAAGTGAAAACTGACCATGACTAGGCGATTATAATATATTCATGCTGTTCGCTTCTCACCATGCATAGAAAGAGCTCATCCTGTCACTAAGTTTAATTAAACGGAGAATTCGTAGTTTGAAGAAAATTCTTGTGTTTACTCAAGCCTATAGGCATTAGTCTGAAATAAGCATGTGCAGGGATTTGCAAGAATTGGGGATTTGCATACTTTGTCTGGTATGGAAAACAATAGAATTAAGAAATTAATAAGTTATCTGGTTACACCTATTGAGAAGTATTGTTGCTTGTGAGTTATGCCAATGCAAGTCCTACTTTGTAAACATGCAAGTCTCTTGCCAAAAAGTAAAAAAAAATTAAACATGATGCTGCATGAAACATGCATAATTTGAGCGTTTCAGCGTGTTTAATGTGAAAAAAGTGTTTCATCCCTACCTCTAGAGATGTACGCTTTTAATTATGTTGATTTTTCTGATGATAGAGAGGTAGAGTAAAGAAACATGATCGGGCATGCAGCTAGGGCGCTTACACAACTCTTGTAAATTCAACATTGCCTAACTTTATGAAACTTCTTGAGTGGTGTCTAACTATGCATCAATATAGTGTCATTGGTGGCGCAGTCCTAACCCCCACTTGCCCATTCATGTGTAAAGAGTCGGTCAACGCTCTGCCGAAAGTCGGGGATTTTCTCCGGTTAAACGAAATACTTGAAAATTGCGCTATACTGTACTATAGAAATCTTAATGATGTCAATGAGAACAAAATTTATTCGACGTTTTGTACTAATGGTGCAGCATGTAGAATATTGTTGGTAATTTGTGATTCACGTTCGTGTTAATTGATGTTTTTATTACTTTCTTATGGAGACTGAAGAGACGTCTTAACTCGTCAGTCATTAAATCTTAATCTGGAGCCACCCGCTCATCTCTTAAAGTAATATTTTAAATACTTGAAACAATGCCAGTAGGAGATTGATTTTAAACCTCTCATACACAACCACATAACAACCATCAACTTTCCTTGACATAAGATGATATGAACTTATTATGTATTTGAAAATTAGTTGAGCTTATAAATAAATTGCCAAAGAATGTTTAAACTGTGTTCAAACACTAAATAGAAGAAGTCTTGGGTAAAAAAACTGTGGGTGTTGACAGTCACTCCTCCATAGTAATATTTGATCCGTCTCGTGGAGTCCGTCTCGTGGAGTCCATCCGCTTCATCGCGCACGTGAGTTCACCTGGAAGATCAGGTGTTCAAGACCCCATGTGGGCAAAACCATGAGTCGCAATTTGACTGAAATGCTTGACTTTAGTCTCTGGTACCTATCCAGCTGTGAGGGTCAACGCAGGGTTCTGGTGAAATGTTTGAAAAGTCAATACCCGTAATCCAGTTAACCAATGTACGATAATCCATAGAATCACCTATAATCTCTGCCGCGGACAGGAACCATTTAACCAATGTACCACGTAATCAGGTGCTCTGCAGACAAGAATATATCAAAACAGAAATCCATTGACCAATGCACCATAATCCACATAAGGCAAAAATCCTACAGTTAGCCAAAAATGCACCATTTAACTGTGTAGAATAAATTAACCAATGCACCATATAATCAAATATGCAGTCAGTAGAAGTGCAAATGAAGACAAGATATGCCACAGATCGTGGTCGTCAAAAAACTCCCATAAAGAACATTCTGCGTTAAGTTCACGAGACCTACTTGCCATTTTAACTTTATCCGTGACTGGCTTCTGAAGGAAGTAGTACAGTGCCATCAACCAGCAAGCCATAGTGCCGACAGCATACAGAATGACGTGAAAATGCACAATCGGCCAGCGTAAGTACATCTTCCATGTTAGCTCTCTTCTTTCATGCGCTGTTAAGTCCCGCGTCTGTTTCACATGCTTATAGATATTCTGCGAGCATACAGTAACACTGTAGCCGATCACAGTACACATGACAGCCGCAAGGCACGTGAATAAGAAGAATATAGACCAGTCCTTCTTCAGATCGACGGTATACAGCCCGATGAATAGCATTAAGACAGGAAATAATGCACAAAGCCAGGCGAACTTGCACCAGAATGCTGGTTCAGGTCGTGGCTTCCATGGTACCATGAGGTGAAAAAATACCCAAGCAAACATACACGTTATCCATAAAATACACCAAAAGTAAAATAATGCATCGTGAAACAACAGGAAGCCTTCTGTATCTCGAATTGAACCCATGTAATTGAGCAAAAGTAACGGTATTACGAAGAACAGGAATAACTTGGTTTCGAAAACTGGATTGCTATACGATTGTACGTCTTCATCGGTGCTTTGTCGACGCTGAGATTTGTCTACCATGGAATTGTACGCAGCAACGATAACTAGGCCGCACATCACGAACATGAAAGCGGAATCAAACTGAAACGTCATACGGCTGGGGCACATATGATAACACGATGAGAAGATCCCTTCAAATACCATGGACCATGAGAACGCGTACATGATTGAAAACGATTCCTTGCGCACGCTCACGTTTAACATTCGCTCGTTCACGCGACATGTGGCTTCTCTTAGTGACACTGATAACGCGAAAATGAGGCCATGTATCATATAGGGCAGGTTACTGATGATCAAATTAGAAGGAATATCCATGTCAGGTGTAGATCTGTAACATCCTTCGTTATAGTAACATATGTCACGGTTGCCACTTTCAATCATATCCTGCCAGTTCGAAACTATAAACTGGATGGCTCCAGTAAGTAGACTAAATGCAACAATCCCGGTAGTATAGGCATAGGATCGTTCATCACCACGAAACCAGCTAAGCATTACATATCCCCAATTTTTAAGCCCTGGCCAATGTTTTGGTATGCTCAGTTTGATAATATCATAAGGTGCGTCCAAATTTCGATCAAGGCGGAAACAGATACTACCAGTTGGAAGACTGCTATGACTAGGGCTGTCTTCATTCAGGCCTTCCTCTACGTTGTCTGTCTCATCCGGAGGTTCTCCCGTTTTAAATACGCGCGAATGCACGTACATTCGAAGCTTGTGGACCAACCGGTGTTCGAATTCTGGGTTGAGGAAGAAATCTGCAAACACAGCGATCACAACACCGCCTAAAACCGAAAGTAGTATAAGAAGCACGATTGGTTGAGTGAAACTAAATCTATTTATTCCACCAGCGAAGCCAACCGACACTTTGACAGTTTTTGTTAAACTTTCTTCCTCCTTGTTTTGACCTTCCTTCAAGAATACACCGATATACCAACGTCCAGTCGACAGCTGTGGTTTAGACGCGTGTGTCAAAGTGATTCGTCCAAATGTTGTGAAAGAGAGATGTAGCGTGCTTCCAGACTCCTTGAAGTTCACAGCTTGAGGATCAATGTTAACAACATCGTTACAATTATTTGAAACAAACAGCAAGCATTCGTGAGTATTGTCTTGAGAGCGGACAGTCACTTGAAAATGATCAAACTTTGATTGTATGGTTGATACATCGAAGACAAGCAGCTGTGAAGTGATCTTGTGTCCGAACTCCAGTGTTTTGATTTCTCTTTCGGTCAGGATGGACTCGTCTACTTGAACTGTGAGATTGATACCTGGGTGGAAAAAAATATTTTGCACAATGAATCAGAACAACAACAAACGAACAATCTCAACACCAAGACAGCAACAACAACAACAACAACAACAACAACAACAACAACAACAACAACAACAACAACAACAACAACGACGAACCAATTATGAATCATATTGACACACGCGAAAACTAACTAAACCTACCTGTCAGAGGTGGTGCTGATAAGAAGATGGAATAATTTCGACTGCTAGATTCAGCCAAAGATGGACAGATATGGAAGGGATATGCCACTTGTTCTTCTGCCTCCGTGACGTACCCTGGTAACACCAACACCCCCTGTTCATCAAGGACCGTACTAACCAACGACGTTTTTGTTTGGTTACTGGTTTTCTGTAACCATAGTCGGAGTATACCTCTAGAGGAGTTGTACCATACGTTACAAGTCATGATATTGAGCATGGTGGAACTCTCTGGGATCATTGCATAACCTCTCATTTCATTCCGGTGTGGGAAGGAGGGTTTGGCAAAGTTACAAGTACCATAGATTGTAACATACTGCATCTCCGATGATTGGGATGAGGAGAGCCAGCAAAGAAAGAGGATAATAGATACGACAGAGGTCTGCATCACGATCTGTGCTTATCTGGAAGATAAATAAAGATATTGTTTGGGCAGTCATTGACATTTGAATGTTCCCCACAGGGATTATAACGTATATAATGACAAACAAGAACAGTACTATATGGTTAGAGGGTTCTACTAGCAATTAATTTATTATCCAAGAAGGCAAAAACAACACGCGCTTGGATGTGTCATAATTACTACTGTTTAATTAAACAACACTCTTGTTTGACCCATTTCAGTAACGGACCATTGATCTGTTCAGTATACCGATGCGCATGATTAGTCCATAGGTCCATAGGATGTTACAAAATAAAAGATCATAATTTTACCTTTACTGCTTTAGTTTGAGAATAAGTATTCTATTTTGATAGACCATGCCAATTGTTTTATAAATATCAATGTCATCCCAAACCACATATAGCGCTTCATCCAATTATGCATCTAAAATTACGCAATCAGAGTTTTGGGGTCAGAAATATTGGTTACCTGTGAGTGCTATGCCTATGTATACCATTTAATATTGCCTGTGATACTCGGCATGCATAGTATATATGCATATATTGTACTGACCGCCAACAGAAATTACAAATGCAAAACGACATGTATAAAGATCGTGCATATTTGCATATATATGAATACGTTGAATCGTGATGTAGTGCATGGACGCCTTCTCACTATGTCTATGTACACACCGGCTTTAACGAAGTTTAACAAAAGTCAACAGAACCAGGGACGCCGGAACTGGGGGGGCAGGGGGGGGCGGCTGCCCCCCTTGCCTTTTGGTAGGGGGCAGGGGGGGGGGCAGAAGTGCCCTTTTAGTTGTAAAAAAATACGTGATAAATCACATTTAGAACGATGGTTTTTGTACAAAAAATTATGAGATTCAGACAATTTACAGTTTATATTTCACTTATGGTATGTCCGGAAAAATTTTTTGACCCCTAAAATGGTACACTGACCGAATTTTTTTGGCGACGGGGGGGGGAGGTCGCCGAAATTTTCTGATAAAAAAAAATTTCGGAAGATTTCGAAGTTTTGCTTTAGAGAAGTGCCCTTTGCTGTGGGTCCGCCCCCCTTTGCCTCATGATCGTTCCGGCGTCCCTGATTACAGAACTTTGCCAGACAGAAATAAATCTGTGTTTTTTTCTATGTATGTAAATGTGAAGTGAGCCCCCTAGATGAGCAACAACAAGTAGCTCTTGGGGCAAACTTCCTTTTTTAAAACATAAAAAAATAAATCAATCTCTGGGAATAAATTAACGTATATTTTTTAATTATGGGTCTTCTTTAATATTTGTATTAGGCCACATAAAAAAAATAGTTGGTTAGCGTCCTCACCCGCTCACAAAAAAGGCCCCGCTCAGGATTTTTTTAATTTTTTATTTAAAAAAACCCCAATTTTTATTGATCAACGGGCTCTGATATATGTATAGTATTTCTGTTGATTGTAGAAATTGCGTACGAAAATGACTGTGTGAATCATATTTTGAAATATATAAAAAAGTATCTGCACTGCGCAAGAAAATCCAGTTTCGGACCTAAAACTTTGCGTTAAAAATTAGTAAAAATTTACACTGAAAAAAAAGCGCCCGCCCGCCCACTTCTTGCCTGAAAAGCTAAGGACGCTAACCAACTAGTTTTTTTTTATGTGGCCTAAGCCCTAAACTAGGTTTTTACTGATATAAATTCATGTCATGAACACATTTACGGTTTAAACGTGAATGGAAACGAAAATGGAAAATATAATGACTCGGCAAAATTGAAACGACTTGGCAAAATTCCACTCATTCAAATAGGGCAAGCGCCGTCCTTGACTAGGGCTTAAAAAAATATTGTCTTCCTGTGAGCACAAAATGAAATACAAAAGTTCCTCAAGCTAGACTCGCAGAGTATTTTTGTGCTAAATCTAGCCATTGTCTGTTCGGCATGGTTTTAACTAGGGAGTGATTCCTGTTAACTATGTATGTAAGACTCCGGGCTTTAATACGAATCGAAAACTTTGTAATAATAAATAAACGTGATATTTTCCGAATCAAAGCAAGTTATCACCATGCAAACATTGAAAAAAACACGTCGACATGTACCATTTTTTTACTGATAAAGAAAAATGAGAAAAACAGCGCTAACATTGTATTGAAAGTAAAAAACAAAGATGTAGGTAAAGAAAAAACATAAGTTTGACGTCATTTGACCTTTTTCAAAAGTAGTTTTGTTTTTAAGTATTAAGATAATAAGGTTTTTCTTACCTTTTATGCATTTCTTTTTGACATTTCATTTTTGCCGCCATTGCAATAATTGCAGCCTGCGACTCTACGAGCGGTGAACAGCGGATGCCGTGGAATGTACGTCATGTTTTATCATCTTAAACGATCGCGCAATTTTTGGTCTGATTTTTGGTCGATTTTCTCATTTTCCAAATATTTGGAATATATAAAAGTTCTAGAATGTTCAACAGAGGGAATCGTTCGCTAGATTCAAAGAATCATTGGACTAAATTTACGACTGCATGATGGGAGGCGTTTATTAGAGTGAAATAAAAACCTCACAAGACACTATATTCGCTATTTACACCAAGTACGTAAGAAAAATAAAAAATATGGCAAAATGAGAGCAAGTCGATTTTCAAAGAAAATTTTATTTTGTAAAAATATTAAATACCCTGCGAGTCATAGATTTGGAAACAGTAACAAAGAATTTTTCAACCATGGAAATAAGGTATGTACAGTGGAGATTAAGAGATTTAGATCTTAGACGTTTTAATAATTATCTTGCTGCCCTTGCAAATGCCAAATATCTTGCATGATTTTCTCAAAATCGCACATGGTATAATAGACCATAAATATCTAGATTACGGTCAAAGCGAGGCTTCATGTAAAGATCTAATGTTTCTATAATTTAACACAAGATCTTGACTTGGCACTATTGTTCTTGATGACATGACCAACTGCTGCTTGGCATTGCTAGCTGGGGGGAGGGTGTGGAGGAGGGGTGGCTCAGCTATGATCTCTAGAACTGTACTTTTGCACCTGCCAAAGTCAACATATCCTGGCTACGCCATTGACTGACTGAATAACCAAAATATTTTAGGTATCTACAAACGATGGCTTGAAACATTACAGTACAAAAGAGCAAGAAAGTAAAAGTCTTAAAACAACATACAATTCAAGTTACAAATATGGAGCACCTCATCCTGAATCAAATATTCCAAGTATAGAGTTTAATGTAAGGCAGAATGAGACGAAAAAGGTAGGTAGGAGCTTTTCAATATTGAACTTGTCAATTAATAATGGCTAGCCTCCTAACCAGTTATGTTAAAGGGTATGAAATTCTGCCATGAATTCCAACCTTACAGTAACAATACAATGTGAGACATGAGGTTATTACATGTACCAAATGATGTCAGCAATTTTTATTTAGGAGAAAACATTTCGTCAACATAAACAAGATCTAATGTCATGGCATCACACATTTTGGCTGCAGCAAAATGAAAAATTTAATAAGGTTTGTAGTCTGGATTTAAATAATTATTTAACACATTGAGCACCAGCACTCTCATCTGGTGTTAGACAGAATGAATTAATGAAATAATAAAGTAGGGTACATTGGGGTTGCAAATGTGCAATCTAACTCGGTCGGTCATCTGCCATTTATAAGTAATTTACATCTACCCATGGACAGATTTTGTGGGGGGGGGGTGTAGGGGGTGCCCCCCACCCAATATTAGCTATAACCCCCAAACAAAATGTCCACCCCTCCAAAAAAAAATTCAACCCCCCCCCCCAATATTCGGCATAATAAAAAAATAATTAAATAGTCCACTCCAACGTGCAGAGTGTTGATGATACAAAATAAACGTAGGAGTACACTCAAATAGAAAAATTCTGGCACTAGAAAATTTCTGGTACCACCCCAGTAAAAAATATGAAAATCCGTCTATGCATCTACCTAATATTTTTTTCTGGAAATATTCTGACCTGTAGGAAAAGAAGGAATATTTGGAAAAAAGAGAATGTGAAAATACGATAAAAGATGGCAAGTATTCCCTTCATTTACATCTAAAGATGAACAATTGCAAATAAAAGAAGTAATTCTATTTTCATGTGAAACTACTTATGATCTCTTTGCTAGGAAAAGAACGAGCTGATGAATTGTCATTGTTCTATAGAGAATTTCTTGATAAAAATTTTTCTGTGCATTTTAAATACCAAAGGTTTGTGTAGTACGGTACCTATATTAATACTGTTCATTATGTGTTGGCACACTTTACTGAGAATTATCTAGCATTCAGGACTAGTGAAATTTATTTATTTTTTGAAGGGAATGGTACAAGAGGAATTTTCTGCTGGTCTGGCATGGTCTTCAAGTTGATGTAGAAAGGTTGGGGAAAAGGTTGATGGTCAAAATAACCAGGTCAAAAAGTAGTTCCTAAGGGAGGTTAAACATCATTAATATCTGGACAAACAATTCTGTATCTTTCTCTATGACAATCACTAACATTTTATACATTTCCAACTACCCTCATTGCACCTATAAATGATTGAACAGCTCCAACTAAAAACATTGTCTATTCTTACATGAAATTGTCATGTTTGTCAGTGTTTGGGTTTGATCAGTCAATCACACTGATTGGATAACTTAATATAGACCCTTTTGGAAAGTACTTCACTTTGGCTATAGAGCCTGGCTTCAATTTAATTTACTCTCACATATACAAAAACAAGGCTTTGTAGTCAAAATGACAATACTTTCTGGAAGAGTGCATTAAAACTTTCACATGAGAATAGACAATATTTTTATCTATGATTGTCCAGGGTCTGAAATTTGCAGTATCCAGATATCCACAGGATACTAAAATTTGGTTTTGAATACCAAACTGTGAATGACTTATATCCCAACTGGACACTAAGAAAATTTCAAACAGGAAAATGTTAAGCACCTCTGACATGCAGTCTCCTGATAATTTTAGAATACTTTTTCTATGAGTTTGCCACCCAAGCCTTTCCTAATATTATGTGCATTTTTGTGTATTAATTAATTAATTGTCTAGTTGAGTAGTTGTTGACTGTTGAATCTCTTGTTGTTATTGTAATTTGTAACAATGACAGTTGTTGGATGAGACAGGGTATAATATACCTATGGTTACCAGTATCCAGAAGTGGGATACTGGATCCTCAGGGGGGGGGGGATACTAAACTTCACATCCTGGTATATCCCAGTTGGATACTGAGAAGAAATTTAAATTTCAGACCCTGGATTGTTCATCTTTAATACAAACAAACAACAGTAGTTTGATGGACTGTCAGATTCAAAAAGACTTTAATTTAAACAGCTTTACAGGTATTTCTAAATAACAACACCATTGTATGTAACACCTGTTTTACATACCCTGTACTTATATAATATATTAAATTAATATTATTTTATTTAATTAATATTAAATTAAGTTCAACTCAATAGACAGTAAAGACCTGGTTCAAATGTCACACTCATCACATGCTGAATCTAATGCAAGTGACTTAACTCATTGATTGAGCTCCTTTGTGTTAGGTTTGGCACATGAAAAGTTAGATGTTTGAACTAAGATCTTATAGTCTGCTGTGTTTGCCCCAGTCAGTAAAAAGCTTAGTACTATATGTTTAACTGAAGATCAGAAGATGAGTTTGAAAACTCTGCTAATAACTTGGCTTTCTTTGCCTTGGGTTTCAGGTTTGAATCATTTCACTGACTGGTGCAGTTAATATTTCATGAACTCAATTTTTTATTTATCAATGCTATTTTGCATCAAACTCTAATTTAGTTCTAAATAATGAGTGTTGAATAATAGAATTTTTTTCACAAGCTTTGTTCAAGCTAATGCATACATGAGTACTCTGAATTTGTGCAAGACAATAGTGTCCATAACTTTTTCATTTTTTGTTGCAAAATTAATTTTCAATAAAATTTGGCAGTTCAAATGCAAATGTCAACAGCTGTTTTCCCTGCAGGAACAAAACTAGGAAAGCTGATGTTTGCAAAGCTGATGTTTGTAGCAAGCTGTCCAAAATTACTACTCTACTATTAAATCTATTCAATACTACCGTCAAATTTAATCTGCACATGATTTAACCGCACACTTCTCTAACTGCAGAAGTCTCGATTCAAATGCTTTCACAATACATTTTGGATCAGTCATACAATTTAAGTCACAGTTAACACCAATCGAAAATTCCCCAGCATAACTATATAGCCCAACTCCGATGCCAACCAAATTACGTTGAGGTGGTGCAAAGAATATCTGTTTGACCTTATGACCAGAAACACTGAAGGGTTCCTGAGGTCCAGGGACATTTGACAATACACATGAATGTTTGTTGGCGATCGGCACATTCCAAAGATTTGTAATGCATTCAGGTATATACTCAACTGATGTGTTTCCACCAATGGCAATCACAAATGCCTCGCCCGAATGTTTTATATCATCCATGTTCATCTTTGTTGCATACAGATTCTCAATTGCGCCTCCCTTGCTAGCAGGCAACTTTAACGAGACAACTGCAAAATTATTTTCCACTTTTAATGGCTGACCTCTTGGGCGAACATCAACTGGTACAGTAACCGTAACATCAGGGGGGTTGGAAACTCCTTGGGCCTTGAAATAATCATGGAAGCTCATCGATACACAAGCCATAAGAACATCATTTACTGTTGTACCAGTGTAGTTCTTAATTTTCTTGACAGCTTGTAAACTGATTGGCTTGCTCCAAGACATTTTCTTAACCCCTTTCAACGGAGGGCCATGAATAATCGAGCTGTCTGGCGAGGAAATTATTTTCTCAATAAGGATTCTGGCTCCAGACACTAGTGCATTAAACAAAAACCACTTTCTATTGACAGTTGAGAACTTAACAAGCTGGTTACTGGTCAACGGTTCGTCAGGGAACTGTTCTAAAAGGAATCTTGTCAGGGCTACACCATCGGCCATACCATGATGCAGTCGGAGCAATAGGATTGCCTCATTACCTTCGTAAGTTTTGGGGATGATAAGGAATTGCCAGGCGGGTTTGTCAAACATAATATCTTCTGCACTCACGGTCGACATGAGCGTTTCCATTTCCTCATGGGACTTAGGCACCGGGCCTTCATGGGCATACACATGTTCATTGATATCAAAATAATCATCCTCTTTCAGGAAATATTGAAACCTGCCACTATGGATGCATTTTGTAAAACGAGGGAAGAGGAGTTGTCCATTCTCGTTCTTCATAGCAATGCATCGCAAGATGATGGCTTTGACACTATCAACTAAATGTTGAATGTTTGAGCACTCTAGTACCATAGCACTGTTGATGATCAGCCTGTTCTCTTTTGTGTCCTGCAGCCACAATGCATCCTGTCCGCTCATGGCAACCCAGCCACATTTGAAATAAAACCATTGTTTCTCAATAAATTTCAAGATGTTATAAACAATAAGCACAGGGGAGAGAATCAATACGAGGTAGAATATGGCGATTGCACAAACAAGACACTCGACTGGATACGAAATAAACTTCAAATACCTTTTTGCAACACTTGAAATTTTACGGGCATCTAACTTCCTGGCCGAACGATCCTGGCCGAGCACCTGGCCATTTGCTGAGCCATTTAAGGTCTGCGTTTGTTTAAGATTTTCTACATTTCCAACGATATTTTGCCTTCGAGTTACAACCATTTTGCGACCAGAGAATAAGCAAGATTCGCTCCGAGAATGAAGTCCAAACTGTGCAATCGCCTGCAGTGTTTTGACTATTTTTGAGAAGGAAAGGAAAATATATGACAGTTCTCTGATTGCCTCTGATTGGCTGAAGTTCTAATGAGTGCCAAAGTTCAGTCGATGTTCCAAAGTTCGTCTCCGCACGTGAGACGCAAATCGTGTGTATGTTTTACTGCAATACAGGTATTTGTATATACAAACAGGTAGAGTAAGTAAAATAGAAGGCATCAAAAACAATTTTAAGTAAAATACGCAATAGTTTCAGCAAAAATGGTGTAGAGCAAATTGAACAATATTTGCTTCCAAATTGTATGCAAATGTCTCTAATTACGTCAAGGTCAAACAAGGTCGAGCGTGATGCAACATGAACAGCAACATGGCTGTCGATATTTATATTTTCCTGTAATAAAACAGAAGTTAAAACATGTAAATCTCAACATAATCTCCATCAATTTTTGCGTTGATACGAAACAAGAGAGACTTGTTATGGCATAAATCTGTTAAATTTACTCTTCAGAAATTGTAATAAACAACGTTTCAAGTTTCTACTCGGACTACTCTTAGCGTGAAATCATTAATTTGCGAGATCATTTTCGTTTGATGAGAAACTTGAACTATGAGCTTTCGAGCGATTTGGATTGCAGCCAAAGATAGTCAGGACAAAGGGCGTTTGTTGTTTACAAGGTAGGCAAATAGTTATAAAAATAGCAGAAAGAGATGCAACCCCCCCCCCCCC